CTGACCCACCATCGCTACCATTTGCCGCATTAGCCTTTGGCTTGTAGTTCTTGAACTTCTCAGGCTTTAGGTGAGGGTGTAGGATCCAGCACTTGTCTTTAAGATGACCCTTCTTCTTGCAATGGTCACAGAACCAAGTCTTCTTGTCATCCGGTTTGACCACTCCAGCTTTGTTGGCCATAGGAAGACTCCCTTTGCTATTAAAGAGGCCTTGAGTTCCATACTCTTTCTGAATCTTTGCGCATACTTGTTCAAGAGTAGGGACCTTGTCATCTCTTAGAATATGCTGAATCACCTCCGTGTAGCTCGAATTAAGGGTCAACATCAAGCCAAACACCAAGTCTTGCTCTCTACGCTCCTTAAGCGTCTTGGCTTCTGTTGTGAATGGCCTTAGCATCTCGAGTTCAGCTACAAGAGATATGTACTTTCCAAAATGAGTGTTAAAATCACTCTCCTCTTGGCTAAGTTCACCAAGAGCCTTCTTAATGTGGTACACTCGGGTCAGGTTTGTCTCATTTCCAAAGACATTAGCGAGAGTGTCCCATAACTCTTTTGAGGTCTCACAATACGAATACCCCTCTAAGATAGCAGCATCTAGAGAACAATGTAAAGCACTCAGCACGTTTAAGTCGCTCTGCTTCCAAGTGTCTTTATCCAAGTTTTCTTCAAGTGCCTTTGCCTCATCGTAGGTAGTTTCTATGTATTTAGTGAGTTTCCTTCCTCCTAATACATTCGTTGTGGTTCTCTTCCACAAGAGATAGTTATTGCCATTCAAAGTCACCGAGAACTTCAGATCCTTGAAAAAGTCACTCATCTTATGAACCGTGAGAGCCATTACCAACAACCACAAAACACAACCACTGCAAATAGACTAGAAAGGAGCCGACTTTCTTCTAAACCTAACCACAAGCTATTCCGCAGCAACTATCCTTCTAAAGCTTAAGTCTTGAATCCAACCTTGCAGATAATCTGATACTTATCGATCTAAGAGGATAAAGTTCAAACCTTTGAAGAAGAATCACCCGAAGCTTTGAAGAACACAACCGTCTTGACTGTTTCGAGACCAAAGACACAAGCTTTAATCTTTATTTGAACCACCCAAGATTAGCTACTAACAAGCTTTGAAGCCAGAAGATTTCTTATCCAAACTGAGAGGAAAAGTCGATTCTTTTAAGTTATCAAGAACAAAGAGGAAAGATTTAAGAGTAGAATCGATGCTCTGATACCATGTTAATATTTAAGTAGGAAAGATTGATGAAACCATGATTTAAGATTGGAGAGAAGCAGAAATGTATTGATGATAGATCTTTTTAACACAATGAGGAGGCACACACGTTTATATAGAGAACATAATCTAGGTCTGAGATGGGTTGTGCACAAAGACCAACAGCACCTCATTCAGCCTTGTAACCCGAGTAACCCAAGTAACCTGTAACCCGAGTAACCCAAGTAACCTACATTTAACCCTTAACTATGACTTAGTTAGTGTTAAATGTCTTCTTGATTAACATCAAAGACTTTAGAACAAGTTACTTTAATTTTTCTCTTCATGTTAGATTCCACAACAAAGAATCCTTTAATACTATTTTAATTAAACTTGGAACATAATTGAAGATAACTGGCGACCGACTATATTTATCGTCCTCCGCTTTAAGGGATTCTTCATTAGGAATTTCTATGTAATACTCATCGTCCTAGCCAATAATGTTTACCGTGTACTTCTTATTAGAAACAACAGAACTTAAAATACAACACACGGCCACTTTCTTCTCAATTTTAATTAAGACTTTTGTTGCTTAGTTATGTCTTCGTCGGCGTTGAACTCGGTGGTTAATTAAGATTATTTACTCAATTTCTAGCTAGCCTGACATTCTTTATCCACAACAAAGATCCATATTATGAACACCACGTTTATGTAATTTCGAGCACCGAAAGTTTTATCTTTTCTAACAACAGAAAGATCATTAACGAGAATAGCAAAAACCTTCTCATTATCTGGAAAAACAAACTAACAGCGTCTTTGGCAAGATCCTGCCTTCCTAACGGCAATCCGCAAATCATGCTGGTCAATGAAACTTTATAAACTGGATCTTGTTTTATTTAAAAATATTTATATGTAACGCAAGAAAATAAAGGAATCAATAAAATAACAAGTGATGAACAGAAAAGCTTAAATAAACGACCAGTTCATTGATTTAATCAAACGACATTGTGTACAAAAACATAACCAAAGGAAACAAAGAGGAGCTACAACCTTACTTTTTTTATCGATTAGTTCTCTTCTCTTCTTTTGCCTCTACCTTGCTATATTTGAACCAAACTTGGAACATAATTGAAGATGATTGGCCGCCGACGAGACAAATATTTATCATTCTCAGCACTAAGGGATTCTTCATTAGGAAATTCTGTATAATACTCATCGTCCTCACCAATAATGTTTACCGTTAACATCCTATTAATCCTATTGTAATGATCAGAACTTACAATACAACACACAACCACTTTCTTCTCCTCATCAATCAAAGAACTCAGGCAAGTCTGAAGAGTATAAGGATCTTGAATTTCTAAATCCACTGTAAAAGATTTGCTCCACAACACCTCGGCTTCAGTATCAATATTAGTGGTAATCCATATCTCCATCTTTGGTGTTGTATTCTTTTCATATAAAAGTGAGAGTTGTTCTACTCTAACAACTGATAGAACTACATTACCATCTTTCCAAGTTGGCGGAGGCAAACATTTAAATCTCTCTGTTTTAAAATCAAAAGGGAGTGAGAAATCTTCGCTGTGATAAGTAAGCCAGTAAGTATTTCCCTTCAAAGACACACCAGTATCTGGATCGAAGTAGTCGTAGAGTAAAGCGACGTTACTAAGAGGAACCCTCCATGAATTAGAACTAAACTCATAGATTTCTAACCCAAGACCATCAATGCTTGGTATTTCCCAAAGCCTCAAGATTTTGTAGGTACGACAAGATTTGTTATCTACGTATCCTAGAGCATACGTAAAGTCGCTCTTATAATCAGTTTTGAGTTGGATCCACCTGGTTTCCCCTAAATACGGATTCCAAACCACGACTTTCCTTGGTGGTGCATAACAACAAACCATCGCAATGAAAAACTCTAGCTATATTAACTTGTTCTAGATTAGAATGCGAATCCTTTAGGCTAAGTGCACTCTTAAACTCTATAGATGGAGCAGAAACGTTGAGATTAACGTTCATTGAACGAACCTTATGATCATCCAACATGAGAACTACCGACTGCTTTGAAGCTTCGTGAAAGTGCTTTTCGATGAATCTTTGGTTTTTCTTTATTAAAACGTTCCATAGTTTGCAAGTAGATCTTAGTTGTTTGTGAGATGTGGCTGGGACTCTATAGAGTATTTCCTCTACTAAATCCGCTGGGAGATGCGAGATCATCATTGTTTCTCCAAAGGAAGAAGAAGAGAAAACGATTTGTTCTGTAACCAGAAATTAGGGTGTTAAGTTTTTCATCACGTTTGTCCTTGGACCAATCTTTGTAGTGCTGCTGGCTCATGTTTATTAAGGGACATACGGTTTTTTTTTTGGTCGGCCCTTTTGGGCTTTTTGGGCTTTTTGGGCTTTTTGCTGTGTTTTACTTTTTTTTTATGAACTGTTTTTTTTTTTTTTTTTTGTCATCCGAAATTAAATATTAAATATAACTCAAAAAAGCCATTCATGGTGAATGTTGTTTACATATGTGATGTGAGACGACTCTGTACGAACTTTTTGTGCCAGATTATCCGCTTTAACATTAGAAAATTTATGGACCTTTTTCAATCGAAATAATTTAATCACCATGTATAATTATAAAAATGCATATCTAATCATTATCAAAAAAAAGAAAAAGAATGCATTTTCTTTTCGAATACCTAGTGTACATATATATGTATGAGAAAGAGAGGTCTATATTTCGTTATTGAAAAATCAAATTAAAGCAAAGGAGCTTCTGTTTCATCTAATAGCAAAACCAGTAAGTCATTTTCTTCAAAGACACTGTGATAATAGTATCCCAAAGGATCAGTCCGAAGTGAAATCATAAGAGTTGTATTTGAGATTTTGGGATAAAGACCGTAATCCCTCCAGGTGCCGAAACCACAACATATAAAGTTTTGTCCCAAACGTCACTCGAACCGGTGACCTCTAAGCTTCAGCTATGATCTTTACCAGTTGAGCTAACAACACTTGGTGATTTTTTTTATTTCAACAAGTTTTTGTTTTGTTTTATTACTCCTCTTTTAAATTATTTTGTCGAATGAAACTTTGCTTATTTTGTATTTAGTAACGAGTTGAAAATCTTAATATGTTAAGCATATTATTGATTCAAAAGACATGATGGTTGAATTAAAAATCAATGATGAACAAAAAGCTATAACTATATAAATCTGGTTCGTTTAAGGCTATATTATAACTTTTGCATTGTTTGATTGTATCACTATCCAACCAAATTGGAGGGAAAAATGACACCATGTAATAACTAATGCAAGGATTTGTTTTACACCCGCAAGATTCTTTACGGATCCGCACAACATATCATTATTGTTGTACATTCGTTGATGGCAATAATTTCTAAAATTTGCGGAAACCACCTTATAAATGTTTGAATTATTATTATTACTATTATTATACATAGTGTAGTATATACAAGAAACCTTTTTTTCTTAAAACTAAAAGGGTTTTCATATGATACAGTGAGATATGACGAAGCAGCATAAAGTAAAAGTTGAAAAGACAAAGAACAAATATAAAATTAACCCTTCATAAACATTCCAATTGTTATTATTATTATACCCCTTTGTTATTGTTTCTCAAACTGCTCGGCTCTTATTGTAAACCTGAAGCTAACAGCTCTTCTTTGTCCTTTTCTTTTGTTGTGTTATTGCTAAAGAACCTAAAAGTCTCCATGCCATCAGTCTAAAACCGAAAGAAGATAATGAAAAAACAAATCTCTTTTTTGCCGATTGATTAGATCTTTGGGGATTCCCTCTAACCTTTATGCTCCTATGTTCTTCTCTCCTTTTGGTTAGGTATCAGTCTTTCTCTCTATGTAACCGTTGAAATCTCCTTCCCCGAAAGGGAAGAAAACGGACTCTCGGGTAGATTCAGGACTTGACTGTCCAACGATTCACAATGAGTTCTCCTGAATGAAAAACATCATTTGGTTAAATCAAGATAAAATCTCAAAATGTGTTTGGTAAAGACCAAAACATACCGATCATTGTCTCTGTAGTTAGTGGTTATGTTCATGACATTGTCTTCGGTGTTCAAATAGTCCAGTAGGTAGCTCAACCGTTCCGCTTGTTCCTCTTGCTCCGCTACAAATTAACAAAGTCAAGCAATTAATATCTGAAACTACGATTATCTGGTTTAAGTTAAAGGTGTAATTACCGTTTGATGTTAGCTTGAAGTCATCCGAGGAGAAGCCGAGGTAGGAGTAATTAGTAGGTAAGGACTTAGAAACAGATTGTTCAGGCTCACTAAGAAATGGCTTCCTCAATAGTCTTGAGCTCTCACTACCCCGCGGTGGCACTAAAAACAACAAAAAAAAGAAAAACCGTTAAATGAAAGATTAACATATACATAAATTGATTTTGCTAATTACTTACATGCGTTCATCTCTAAGTCTCTATCAATAAATTGAGAGCCATAACGCATGCCGTGTAGAGGCTTGTTATTGTCAAGGTACCGACTCGAGCGTGATTTTTCCCGGTAAGGCTTGACGAGAACACGTGCACCACAAATGAAATGAGGATTGCCTTTTGCAAGAATGAGTTTAACGGTTTCTGTGCAAGCAAATGTTACAAATCCAAACATTCTTTTCTGCTGACAAGGAATCCTCACATCTTCCACATGTCCGAATGTGGTAAAGTAGTTTGAGACATCATGTTCAGTGAAACTACTCTCTGCCGGAAATGTTAAGTAAATCTGTCTAGAACCAGCAAGGATCGCTCCGTGTTCGTTTCTCTCTCCGGTGTATTCCACAAACTTTGATGCATCTTCTGCTAATATAACTGAATGCTGCCCATGAGGCCTACAAAATTCAAACACCATAAAAAACAATACTTAAAATTGAAATAGAAATAGTAGTATTATAACTAACAAACCTGTCGATGAGGCGGATGGTGTTCTTCAAGCGAGCAAGAAGCTTGGTGAGGCTATAGCCAGCTTTGCCATGTCGTTGTGACTCTGTCAAATATCCTTCAGCTTGAAGAGTCCTACCGTATGTTTCACTGTACATCATCGGCAATGAAGCTATGGAGATTGGAGCGCCTCTTCTTGCTTTGAGCAATTCGATGATCTCTCCTTCTAGCTTTTCAAGAGATACAGGGGAAACAACATGCTCTTCTTCACTTAGGTTGTTGTTTGGATTAAACATCTGAGCAAAACTCTCCCTCTCCGGTATAATCTGCCCGTGGAAGTACCTACAATTGTTACCGTGTTTGCAGAATCCTTTGTTGAAGTAATGACAGATTTTGACCGGGAACTCGGGTAAACTCGGGGATCTCCTGCTCGTTCGCAAAGGCAAACATTGACGCTCTTGAGAGAAGAAACCGTTAGAGAATTCAGGGCTGGTCAATGAATCCTCAAAATTCAAGAACTGAAGATTGTTCTGCAAGGTATCCATCTCGGTTGAATTCTCCCAGAAACCGGTTTTCACGGGAGGAGAAACAGAAACCGAAAGAGGCGATGATCCCGTGAATGATCCAAATTTGTGAGTAGGAATGTGATCAGAAGGAGGGCTGTGGTAATGATGAGCATTCTTAGCTAACTCGTATTTAACACAATTGATGACAGAACGCATCACAGAATCAGGACAGAACGCGAGACGGATCATGTCGCGGTCGCCATTGTCTTGCATTAACAAGAGATAACCAATGATCTTTGATGCATTCTCTGGTTCAAGTTGTTGGATTCTGTTGTGCACAACGTTCATTGATTCTGTGAAATTCATCTCTAAAAACTTGTTATCTTAAAAACTTCTCTGCAAAGCAAAATCATTCAAACTTTCATTATTATTAATTCCAAAAGATTTAGTCAAAACTCTTATATGGATATGAATCAAAAGTTACATAAACTACAAGTTGATACCAAAAAGAGGTAGAAGAGTGAGACTCACTCATGAACCCACATGTTCATAATTTATACCAAAACAAAAAAAATGCATCGTAAGTCAAACAAAGAAAACAAAATCTGCAATGTTATGGATACGAAGAACAATGAGCAAGATCTGAGTTACGATTATACACAATCAAAAACATCAGTTTGACCCCAAAAAACAAAAAAATTACCATTTATATACGATTGAGACAAATCAAAACAAAGTTAATAATCTTTGAACATGTGAAAACAACATAAATATATTGAAAAACCGAACATGATTAACTAACATTTGTCTTGATGAAGAAATGTTTTTTTTTTTTTGGTTATAAAGAGTAAATTTTCACATGGAAACAAAACATTCACCAATGATTAGAGAGAGGATCTATGAAAAATTTACCTTGGTGAAAAATTATCTGTCAGCAAATGAATTTCCTAGAAGGAACCATAATCTCTGTTAATCCAAAATATTAGATCTTTGAATAAACTTTCAGAGATTATAGACCGAATTATCTCTTAGTGGTGTTGGCGACAATCGTAAAACATGCAAGAGAATTCTTCAAACTTATCAGTTTTTCTGAAAAAAAAAAACAAAAATGGAATACAAAAACCGTAAACAAGAATGCATTGAGATAAATCATAGAGAACTGAGAAAAAAACAACTCACATTGATAGTTTCATTGTTGAATAAATTAAACCAAAGAGCGTGAGAACCACAAACGAAAGAGAAGAGGCAGAGACTGAGAAAATGATTAAAAAAACTTTAAGAGATCGTGCAAATTTTTTATCTATTTTTGCAGAGTTTTAGTAACTGTAACACAGATAAGATCTCAGAGAATCTTGGATGGTGGAGAAGAAAAACGATAAGTCCTAGGTTAAAATATTAATTTAAAACAAATAGTTTCTTGTTGCGAAGAATATTGTTCGTTTTTTTAAAATTAATTTTGGTTTGACAACTCGTTCTATTCAATATTGTTACAGCGAATATCGGGACTTAGTTAGAATAAACCTGGAGAATTTAATAAATTAATTAATTAAGTTAATATTAATCACGATACGTGAGTTAATATTTTAGCCGTAGGATGAAGAAGACTTTTGGTGGTTTTGACTTTTGTTATTCCTTTTGATTTAATGGACGGTTTAGATTTCAAAGTTGAGAATGTACTGTTTTTATTGTCCACGTGGCGGCCATGTTGTTGTGTTTGGATAAGGATAATGCAGACAACTGTGACCGTTTAATAAAAAGAGTAAATTTTAAAAAGTTTATGAGTTTTTATTTGAAAAATACTCTGGGTGTAAATGGTAACCGAAGAATCTGGCTGAATCTGGCTGAATTGCTGAATCTGGCTGAATATATTTGTGTTTTTCTGTGGAATCTGGCTGAATAATTTAAACTTCAAATGGTAACTGCGGAATCTGGCTGAATTTTTTTTTTAATAACTAATCAAATAAACTTTTAAAAAATAACTAGAAAATTGTTTCACCGAAACCGAACTGAAACCGTCGAAATAACCGAATGGATCTTAAACTTCATTACCGAAAAAACCGGAGCCAAAATATTTTAGATACTTATATGAAACCAAAGTACACTTATATATCCAAAATATTAGTTACTTTAATACTGAATAATTAAAAAAATTCCAAATAATAAAACACGAACCGGAATCAAATGGACACGAACCATAATAACAAAAAAAACTCAAAAATATTTGTAAAGTTTTTGGTTCCTAAGCCGAAATACCTAAAACCGAACCGGACCTGAACCAAAATTTTAAAATAACCGAATGGATTCTAAACTCGAGAACTGAAATATCCGAAACTAAAAATTATAGAACCGACACCGAGCTAAAGACCCAAACATCCAAGACTATCCGCTATCATCCATAGTGAAATCATAATATCAAAAAATATTAAAATTATTAGTTCTTTATAAATCCACAAAAATATTTTTTGTTCCTAAAAACAAACTTCAAAATACATTATTCAAAAATACATATGAAAATTAACAAATGAAATGCATCTGTTGAAGGTTTGATTAATTTAATAAATAGAATAAAGTAGGACCCTTATGAGAGAACAACAAAAATTCAACAATAATTCCACGGATACAAATGATGTAACATTAATATCTTCCACAAGAATTCCTCAACAATTCCACATAAAAATGTTACCATTTACAGCCTCTATCTTTTTTTTGTTTAAAACCTAAGTTTTAATATATAAAATTACTAAAATAACTTCATTAAAATTTAGTAATAATTAAAAATAATTTAAATTTAAAACAGAAAAAATTCATTAATTTAAATATAATATAACATGTGCGTCCATGTAAATATATGTTATTAAGATTAAAAAATTAATATAAAGCTTAAAAAACTTTCTGTAGCATTGTGTAGGCATGACTAAAAGCTAACCGTAACCGTAAATTAACCGTAAATATATCAAAACCGTTAGTTAACCGTACGGTTAATCGCATAATTAACCGTGCAGTTAAAACCTAAAATATATAATTATTTCACTAAAACAGTACCTTAAATGGTTCAATGCGCCCACTACTAAATTTAAAGCACTCCACTCGTCCACTACTCATTTTCCACAAATCAAAATATCAAATCATAAATAATTTACAAGTTATTATTTCTACTTCTGTAATCATTTCTTAGTTCTCATAACTTCCTTTCTATAATATTGTTTGGAATACGTATTGTCAATAAAATAATAACTCAATCATTATAATTATTACCAATGATTTAGTTATTTGTTGGTTTACTTAACAGAACAAAATAGCTAATTAACTATAAATATTAAAGTACATAATCACATATATTATATATTGTAAAATAAATATTAAATGATATATCATCATTAAATTTTTTATTCTAAAGGTTAAAAATACATAAGTTTTTGTCTTTGATATTAACCGTATCGTAATAATTAAATAACTGTAATCATATTTAACCGTAACCGTTGTAACCGTATTTAACCGTAACCGTTTAACCGTATATATAACGGTTAAAGTTACGGTTAGAGAAATTTTATAACCGTAACCGGGGGTTAATAAACCGTAACCGTGGTCATGCCTAGCATTGTGTACGTCCATGTAAATATATGTTAGACACATATATTACAACATTCGACCGCCATGCATAATTTCAGTACATTGTTCTTTTATAATTGAAATCAAATATATATACAAAGGCAGAAGTTATCGTCGAAAATGTTATAAACAAGATGCATATTTTGGTGAAAACACATAAAGTAGTTTACCTTGCAATTAGAAAAAACTTTGGCGTTATGTAGAGTTGAAGAATGTATATAGAACTTTGGAGATTGATTTCTTTATATAACGTGACAAATATTAAGTGATAGACTTTAAAATATTTTAAGATATTATCTTGTTAAATTTTAATATATAAAATAAATAAATTGTCTTTATCTCAAAAATAGTTAAAAACTAATTAAGATTTCGAACTTACTTTAGTTTGTTTGTTTTTCTTCTAAATTTTGAATTTTGTTTTAATTTATTTAAAATACAGCAAATTTGCCATTTGCCGCGTGTCAATTGACAGCAAATTTGCTATTTTACCCTTCCACAAAATCTTTTGATTACTCTTTGAATGCAAAAATCATAATGGCAAGGTATGTAATATTCTACCCTTTATAATGTTATTTATTTTTAGTGATTTCCAATTAATAGTATAGATATTATTGAAAACACATGTCTAAAATTGAAGCTCTTAGACTCTAATTATCAATAGTTATATCGTTAATTGCCTTTGGTGTTTGAAATTGATGGAGTGAGAAAATCATGTTCAACGCTGCAAAAGTACTTTGTCACAAGAAATATTTAATTCTACAAATTGACTTCATTTTAAAAAGTTTTCATGAGATCTTATTGTAATTGTTGAGATTAGTTAAGATAACTTAAGTAATAATATTCAGATTGTTCATTTTTTATAAAATGTATAATAGATTTTAAACTTTGAAGATTTTGTACTGATTCCTGCTATCTTGGTGTTTGCAAGGTACAAAGTTTGCCTTTGAGAGCATCACTGAATAGATATGCAGAGTTGAATTTATATAAACGTTTGAAGACTAACATAATTGTTGGAACTTATTTTTGACAAAATGGTTTTGACCATTGTTACGGTGGAGTTTCCGGTGAAGACGTTCATCGGAATGACCGGTTCTTGGGCACGATGGAATCGTTGCTGTGAGCACTACGTGGTGGTGTATTGAAATGTCAAAAACGGAGTTCGTTTGAATGAGAAATGGAGATGTGAAGTGGCTAACTTGAAAAGTTTTAGCTTTTGATTAAAGATCAAAATGTTACACTTGGACGTTAGAGGAGATACGGGCTCGGGCCTTGTGGCTTTGTGGAAAATGACTGATTTATGGTTAATCATAGGTCCAGAAATGATTAATTATTTGGCCCAGATTTTTGTCTTTTGTATGTAATCAATACAAAAGAAAATTGGTCAAACCATATTAATCTCTCCTCTTAAGTTACGGCCACTAATCTGTTTTGTAACAGATGAATATCAGATTTAATTTTTGAAATTAAGTCTAATTGATTCTCCATTTGATTGCACCGATATTTTTTAGATTCGTGTGAGACACTATAAAATGGTCTCGTGGCAATACTCATGACACACGTTCAACAACGTAACAATCTTCTTCCTCTTCTTCTCTTCTCTAGTTCGAGTCTGAGAGTACAACACAAAACTAGTGTTCGATTAGCTTTTGATTTAATTATATAACTACAAGAAAACACGTCATTTGCGACTGTGAAAATGGTTGCTAAACGGTCGCAAAAGAGGGTTTTGCGACTGTTTAACGACTATTTCGGGTAGTCGCTAAAAAACGGTCGCAAAATTTCTAAGTCGCACGATAGTCGCAAAATTGCGACTCTTTAACGACTATAAATATATCGTCGCAGATTAACGACTAATCTGTGACTGGTGAATGTCGTTGCAAATGTCCGACTATAGAGCAACGAACATATGTTAGCGACGCTTTGCGACTATAGTAACCACACATAATTGGTCCCACAGTGCGACTCGTTTGCGACTGTTTAGAGAGGTAATATTGTGCGACTAATTTGAGACTCTTATAATTTGGTGACAAAATAGTCCTCTATTAGTAACCAATTTGATACGAGATTTGGAGTTATTTCTAATTATGTTTAGTCACAATTTGGTCACATTTGTTACTTGTTCTGGTCACAAACTAGTCACATTTTCTTAAACAGTTTGGTCACAGAATCGTTACATCTTATTAATTCGAAACCTGTCCATTTCAAAAGCAAATGCTACATTCAACCATTCAAATATCATTCAAGTTCTTCCAAACCATTCAAATATCATCCTAATCAGAGCATAACATATCCTAATAAGTTTTCATGATCACAAAGACAAAAGGATATAAAAATCAAGTTCAATGATTAGAGGCGGTGTTAGATAAAGGGGAGGTTGGTGTGGTTCCAGTGGTGAGTCCTGTTGGTTGGACTGCTGCTGCTGTGGTGTCTGGAAGGGTGGTTGGAAGGGTGCCTGTTTGTGTGCTGGGTGGTATGATGACTGGTGGTTGCTGGAGTGGAGAAGAAGACATGAAGGCTGCCAAGTCAGGATCCTTGTCTTTTATAAAGAGGATGAGCTTCTCCAAGCTGGCGATCCGAGCTTGAGATGTGCGGTGCTCCGCATCACGTCTTGCATTTTCAGCATCCTGATCAGAGATCTTGCGTCGTAGGTTCTCTTGAAGCTCAACAACTGTAACTGTAGAAGATGAGCTCGCATAACTCTCCTTCCTTTTTC